ACGCTCACTAAAATTACCCAAGCTCCGCAGGCAACAAACATTTTACAACTGTATTCTTTGGTGTGTTTCACAGCTGCAATAGTCATTTTATGCTATTAACGTGCTTCCCAACGTAAAGAAATTGCAGCGCGAATGTCAAGAAAAATAAAATATAACGAAAGCTTAGGGAAACCTTTGTTTGATCCAAATCGTGCCCTTTTTTAGGTCAATCAAGCCAATGCAGCGCGGGTTTGCCGAGAGGATCAACATGCAGTAGAACTGCCAGATGGTATTTTCACTTGTTCGGATTGCCGAGAATGCCCACCAGGATCGGGGGTAACAATCCCCTGCGGATCTAAGAGGACCTTCGGTACCCCTGTTGAGTGCAAAGAATGTGCCACAGGCTACTATTCTGATTCGTACTCGTCCGAGAGTTGTAAGCCCTGTTCAATGTGTAGTCCCGATGAGGTCACGGTTATGCGCTGCACTAAAACCTCAAAGACTCGATGTGGTTGCAAGCCATGCCCAGATGGTTATTACCAAAACCAAACTTTGTCGAAATGCCTTCCTTGCTCAGGATGTTGTTTAGGTGATTTGGATGTAGTTGTCCCACAATGTCTGATCCAAGGTATGCCTCGAACCCATTCATGTAGCTACCACAAGAGAAAACCTTGTATACCAAAGTGCTGGTATGATGAGATCATGGTTATAAAGCATGATGGCAAACAGATCTGTCTACCCTGTCCTGTTTGTTCCGACGAATTTGGCCTTACCAAACCGTGTGGAAGTGTTGTTACTGATGGTGCGATACCCAAGTGTGAACTTCCGATCTTAGGAAAAACGTTCGTTGACCAGCAGGGTGTTCTACAGTCTTGCAAAGTTTGTTCGATCGGTCAGAAGGTTTTAGCCAACTGTTCTGCCAAATCTAATACCATTTGTGGTGAGTGCAAGCCAGGTTTTTATCTGAATGACCACTTGAAAACTTGTGAAGAGTGCCTCTGGTGCTGTGGGTATAGCGACAGTCGAAGTATTGTGGACTGTATCAAACAAGGAATGGCGTTTTCAGAGGAATACCGAGGGCTCGCTATTGAGCCTCCTGTTTCATCTTTGGGCTTAAATGAACAATTTGCGCAGCTGCAAACCGTAGAAAAAGGAAACTATGAAGTGAAATCATTAGAATTTGACGAGGTGGTAACATTAATTCTAATAAGCCTATGCTTCTTTTTGGTTTCGGTTGGCATCTCTTCAAAAAGAATACCAATATTGGAAAGCAATGACCATTGTCCATTTCCAATTGAGGGAAACGATTGTCAGCTAACAGGAAAGAAGGAATCTTCTGAGAGTGGTAAGTTAAGCATTTATTTATTATCTTTAATTGGTATTTATTGCTTTGTGTGCTAAATACCTAGGCATAGTTCTCTTACGTATAAAACACTGTATCTAGCTACCATTTTGGACTATAGCAAAGTTACTACACCCCTTTTTTACTTTTGTTTGTTTCTCTGTTTTTTTTTTTTCCCCTTTTTATATTTGCTTTGTAGAAAGGACTAGAAAGTTAAATCTATGTAAAGTGTTTTTCTGAAGAAAAAAAAATAAAAGAAAAGAAAAAAGCTACCACGTGTTTACAATATGCATTCATATGCATGTTCTATTTTCTCAGGTAGTGAGGAGCCAAAGTTGGAGAGCCCAAAACAACATAGCCCAGGTCATATGTTATTTGAAAATACAGGAGTTGAGGTTGTTACTCTTGATAGCAAGAAGTCTGCCCATCAACACTTGCCAAGAGATTTGGTACTGCATGCCACATCGGATGAGCTAGATTTCCCTGGATTACTTGAGGATGATGAATTTGCACTTAGTCCAGCAATAAGGTTTATAATAAGTGGCAGTTTGATGGGACCACTTGAGCTTCTGATACCTCATAGTGCAAACATGGTGCTATCTTCCAATAAGTGGAAAATCATATTGAAGGAGTTGAAAAACAATGAATGGGTAGTTGTGAGTTATGTGAAGGGTAGTGGAATTGAAGAATTTCTCCCCAAGAACAACCATATTAGCTTTGAGACAGATCATTTTGCAACATTTGCAGTGGTTGGGCACTGTAAAGAACGATCTTTACCAGTATTCAAAAGAATGAAGGTCATGGCATTCTGTAATAAAACCAGAGTTGGAGAAGACCTTGTCGTGAGGCTGTACTGCTTTGATGATTGTGAGTGGTCATTTGAGGTAAGCTTTTGAGACTGACAAACAGATTCTCTCCTCAGATAGAAATGTATTGATGATAACTCAAGGCATTGAATCTCTCCCTGAAATTTAGTGTTAAATTGACAATAGGATCTCTTTGGTTTGTAAAATTTCTTTCTATCGTACAGTGAATATCACGAATAAAGTAGACGACAGGTGTTTCAAATCCTGTGACATCTTACGAAGTTCTAACAAGTTGTTTTGTACATAACTGAATTCTTAATTTGGATCTGTGAGGTAATTATAATTATATGTAGTTTTGATTTCTAATTTTAGCTGGTCTAGGTCATAGAAGATCGTAACTTCCAAACGTAGTTAGTTATTTTACATAACTGTAAATCTATTTTTTTTTTTACATAACTGTAGATCTATTTCTGTAAGTAATCTGTTTGAACAAACTTGTCTGACTTTGCTTCACAGGATCTTTTGAGGAAGGAGCAAAAGAACGGAGGAAAGCCCATGTCATCAGTTGAATCTCTTGATTTTTCTGTTATACGTGAAGAGGATGTGAAAATTGGTGTAAAGGATATGCATGGCTGGAAGCTGGAGAGTGGTCAACCAATGGTATTTTGCAGGCATTTTTTGAGCACTGTGCGAGTTTTCTAGGAAAAATGAAACTTAAAGCTTTTATTAAGATTTTAAGTATGTTGAGCCTGATGATGAACTTTGTTTGTAGGCCCCTGAAAGTGTTAGTAACCCTTGATGATTTTGAAAACGTTTGCATCTTGTTCTCCTTTATCTAGGGAATCAGCTATGCATCTCTGAAGAACTCTTTCAGTTCATTTCCCAGGTGCAACCTGGTATTTAGCTCAACATCCAACGAAAAGAAAAGCAGCTTCTTCGCCACTATTGTTTTGACTCAAGCATCCTGTCAAACTTTAATTTATGCAAGCACTGCTTTAAAGGAGGTACATTCAGAGGTACGTTTACAGCAAAAAATGATTTTGATTTAAATGTGTTAATTTGTAGGAGACATAGTGGCCTCCGTTTTAGTCTATTTTGATTTGGATCGAGTCATTTGTTTTTAAATTTTTTTTTTCCTGGTTCGGGTCACATTTTTTGTTTAGAACCAGAAACTAATCATTTGGAGTTAAAGGTATAAATGGGTCGATGAAAACTGTCAAATTTAATCGACAACACCAATGAGAGTTTACCAGCAGTGTAGTTATTGTCATCAGTACGCTTTCCTGATCTTTCCGATCGAGAGGTATGACGAGAAAAAGAGTTTTGATTCTTTATTTGTTGCAATGTAGGATCCAATCCAGAAAAAAAACCAGAGCTTTTTTCTAAATGCTGTAAATGGTGAGTTCTTTCTTCTTGTTGAGGGTTTTGTTAGCCTTCTAATGGATGAAGGTCAATTTGCTGGGATTGATTTGCAAAAGTCTTTGCTGAGTTGACCATGTTGTAACTATTACTTTTTTCCTTCAGAGGGAGAACAAGTCACAAATGTGGCAGATCTCACTGATACGAAAAGTGGAAAGGGAAAAGAACAAAACTCCGGAGACTGCATCATTCAGCTGCAAGCTTGATACTCGACCAGACGACGGGTTCCGAAACGTGGACTCCTGCCTTCATAAACCGGGGAGGCATTACATTGGGTACACGCCCTTTTGTTTTGATTCAATCGTCTGAACAAGACTAAGAACCAAGATATAGTGTAGATGACATATTTTTCACAAGTTTTTTAAAAAGGGTAAACGTAAAGTTTAAAGATTATAAGATATGTTAGCGAATCTTTAGATCTGAAATTCCCTCATCTCCTGACAAGAAACTAATTGAAATGATTCATTCATTAGTAATTAATGCCTTTGAAAGCATAACGGATATTGTTTTTTTGTTGTTGTTGTTTTTTTTTTGGTACTGAATGAAGGATATCAGAGATTATACAGCTTAAGCTGGTAACTTTCAGGCATTATGTACAAAGTACTATGCTCACTTTTATTAGTGATGTGTATATTTACAGAGAAGTGTTTCCTGTGGGAAACTAGTGTGATGTAGTAATGTGCCCATAGTGAACCAACAGTAATAAAAAGTGTTCAGTCACTTATTTGTTTTCTGTCTTTTCATGTAACTGCAGACGTTTTAGAACCAAACGTTTTGCAGCCTCTTGATTTTCCCGTGATTGCTGTAAGACACATATAAAAATGTCTAAAATATTCCCTTTTCTGGGTATCATCATAAGCAATTGATCAATGCCTTCTGATGGACGAGGAAAACTTCTCAGAAATGCTTTATCATCAGCACTCAAGATGTTGCATTGATAAAGATAGCCAGATAATGATGTTAAGTCCCCAATATTCTCAATGAGATCCACATGACAGCTTTGAAGGGCGTCTCTATCCAATTTTGGCATGCCTGTCACTGTCCAATGAGAAATATAAGGAGAAAGACCTTGACATTTCATCATATTAATATACCTTTCCCCTGGCTTCTCAGTACTTATTTAAGGCAAGTTAAACCATTAGTACCTCTTTTGTCTTGTAGCTAAATTCTAGGTGAGGCAAGTGTCTATGGCTTCCCATCGGGGCCAGAATTCAACATTGCGATTTGACATTGTACTTTTAGTATTCTTCCT